GTGAGAATTTACCTTAGAAGTAATAGTACATTTCCTGTACCTTATCACCCATCATCCTATATATATAAAAGCCCAGCGACTAATGCCAGAATGACCAGAATGACTGGTCAACCAGTCGCTATGATGCGCACTGACCACTAGGGGGCAGACACTCCACTCAGGAGCTGCCCCCTGGTGGTCAGTGCACTCTCACAGGGGGAGGGCCACTCAGCTGACTGCTTGGCTGACCGGGATGAGCGGCTGCTCCCACAGCAGGCAGATCCCTGCAGGCCACGCCCCACACCAGTGCACGATTCCGTGCACAGGGCCACTAGTTAGTTGATATTTACCAACTGCTTGCAATGTTGCTAGATAGTCTCAGTCCCATTTTACAGATGAGTAAAGAGGTCATTTGTCTTGGGTCACATGGCTATCAAATGACCAAGACATGAGACTGGAATCTGACCCTGGAATTTGAGCTCCCGGCCATCATTATGTTCTGCAGCCTCTTTTAAGGTCACCTCCTTAGGACACCTTTCCCAACTTTCCAAGGTGCCTCTGTTGAAATTCCAAAGCACATTGTTATCTTGTTAGTCTCTTCCACTTGACTCTGAGCTCTCACAGAAGCAAAGGCCACATTGTCATGTACGCCTGGATTGTATGTATTCCCCAAATATTGGTATCAAATATATGCCAAGCACAAGGCTAGGACTAATGATATAGCTCTAAACAAGTCAGCTATGGGACCCAATTCTTAAAGTTTACAATCTAGAAAGGAAGGCATGTAATTGAGTAATTATGATGGATGAGATCAATCATCACGATAGGAGAAGATGTAGGTGGGACTATGAACCTAGATGAGCAATCAGGGCAGGCTTCTCAGAAGAAGCTGTTTAAGCAAAGGCCTGAAGGATGAATAGGTTGTCAAGCAGAGAAAAAAGGAAAGGTTGCTTCCAACAGCAGGTTTAAAGAACTGGCAGTGATGAGAGAACACGGAATTCTTGTGAAACTGAAGTTCAGTGCTACTGGAGGATAGTAGGAGGAGGGTGAGGAAGCAATGAGGATGGGGAATTCAGCAGGGTAAGCCAGAGAAGACTACACGTTACTCCTAATGTGATTCTATCCTGTAGTGACCACTCTGGTTACTGTCTCAGCCTAAAAAGCCCTATCCCACTTCTGATATCTGCTGCTCAATCTTCAATAAGGTATTTCTGGAAGAACCAAGGGATCCAAGTGAGAGTGGGGCTCTGTATTTATAGGATTATGCTCAGATCTCTCCAGGAAAAGCCTGACCAGGCATTAATCTCACCTTCCATGTCTACCCTCATAAGAATTGGAGACAAAAGATGGTGCTAAGACCCCATGAAAGAGGGAAATCCAGCCACCAGACACCTTTCTGTGGGGAAAAAAACCCAGCAGCGGGGCACTAAAGCTGCTGTTAGCCAATACAGATCCCTGTTGCCCTGGCATGCTCCTGTGTACCTCTGGGGAAGGAAAGAAAAAAGTCCAGCCAATCACCCTCTAACTAAAGCCAACCAACCTTTTCAGAGGCAGCCTCCAGCGATTTCAGGTTGTTAGTGACATTCTTGAGTTCTTCTTCCAGGTCACCACATTTTCTGCACAAAGACAAAGGATTTTCATGTCTTATCTTCCCTTACCGCAGGCAATCCCCCTAACAGCAGTCCTCCAGAGGAGGAATCCACACTGCCTGGCGCCCCCCACAAGGAATGCGGGCAAAAGGTTAATGGCCTTTTCTGAGCTGGAGCACTGTGTACTTAGCAAAACCCTATCATGCCAGGCAAAGGCGCGGCAGGCAGGCTGCGGAGTATTGGAAGGTTTATAGAGTGCTCCTGGGCTCCTGCCAAGGCTGAGGCAACAGGGACTTGTGGAATCTATGATTGATGAGGCTGACTCCGGAAGGTGTAAGAATGAGATGGAGAGCAGGAGGCTGGGAGACAGCAGTCTACACCGGACACTACAGGAAGCAAGCCCAGAATGGATTTGCACAACCAGACCCCTTTCAGCACTGTGAGATGCTCTGTGGAGCTGGAGGGCCCAGGGAAGAGGAATTTTTATATTTTGGAGCTTTCTGGATTCTGGTCAAGCTTCTTACCCCCTCCCCCGCCTGTCAGGGTTAATGTGTCATGGCCAAATAATGACTTCAGAAGCAAAGTATTTAAACACTGGGTGGGAGGAGGGGAGTGCTGCCTTCTGTAGGTCAGCTTTCTGTAAAGAAGGCACGCCTACTGAGATAGTCTCTCTGGAAGAATGAGACTTCTCTGCTACCAGCTGTCTCACTCCTACTTCCTAATACCTTTATGGTTAGAGTCAAGACGTGAACAGCAAGGACAGACAGTTGCCACCTCTCTCTGTTGGCCACAGAAGCAAAGAGGAGCTACAGAGCAATGAGTCCAGATGCCCATCCACTTGACCAGAGGCCCTGGTTCGTGTAAACCAACTACCTCCAGCTCTGACCCAAAGTTGAGCTGGGCCCCACTCAGTTCTGCTCTGCCACTCACAGTTCAGACACCTCGGCACGCTCCTCTGCTCTCTCCAGCTCGCCCTCCAGGATGACCAACTTACGAGCTACCTGCAGAGACAGAAAGGATCATCGGAGACTGACCTGCCGCCCCCCCCCCGCTCTCCCCCCAATAGCCACATCTAATAGGATGCCCTCCCAGTGCAGACAGTGAGGCCACACCCAGACTATGCCAGGGGCTTACTGCTGCTGCTTTAACTCAGTCTGGAGAACATCCACATTCTCTCCCTTAGGTCCCAAGAGTAAGGCAGACAGGAGGGGAAGGAAGAGCTGAGACCATGGATGCAGGCAGGAAGGGGACTGAAGACCCATGACCAGGGACCACGATTTCCAATTTTAGCCAAACTGTACTGAAATACCCAGCTGCGGGACAAAAAGTGATCTGGTCAGCTGATTTCCCCACCAAGTCAGACAAGCGTCACAGAATTCCCCAGGACCTTTTGGCATTGTGGAAGATACAGTTCCCAGCCAAGTGGTGTCTCTGGAAAAACAGATGTGGATACAGATGGACAGCTGACCTAACAGAGGACTTCCTTTGGGCAGCCCCAGGATCTCCCTATCACACATCCATTTCCTCCCGATTTCCTGCTGCCGCCGCCATCTGCCAGCCCCACTCACCTCCTCGTATTTGCGGTCAGCCTCCTCTGCAATGTGCTTGGCCTCTTTGAGCTGCAACTCCTGGATCTCCATCTTCTCCTCATCTTTCATGGCCCGGTTTTCTATCACCTTCATTCCTCTGCAAGAACAACCTTGTCATTACCAACACAGACACAGTACCACCTCACCACACACCTCCATGGACCTGCTCATCTAAGCACTTGTCAGACATCTGCCAAGAACCAGACTCCAAAGAGGAAATTACAGAGCTGCTCACATGTCCTTTTCACCCTTACTGAACGCTGGGTACTGCTCTAAATGCCTTAAACTTCAAAACCACCCCATGAAGTGGTAGGTACATTGTCCCCATTTCACAGAAGAAGAAACCAAGGCACAGAGAGGCAAAGTGACTAGTAAGTGCAGAGCTGGGACTCAAAGCTGGTGGTCTGACTCTGGAGTCTGTGTTCCCATTCTAAATAACCTGACTAGTAACAGGATGTATTTGTACTCTGTTACAACAGTGTGATTAGAGATCTGGGCCAGCTTGGCTAAGGAGAGATGAATTCTGTTGCAGTGGGGGAGGTGTCACAGATGTTCCAGAAGAGAGTCCACAAGTGAACAAGGGAGGGAAAGTTATTCTTCAGTGAGGGAGCCACACAAGAAAGCCCCAGAGAAATGTCAACACAGCAGGAGGTCAAGGTGACTGGACTGTAAGGTGGGTGGCACTTGACAGTTTCAAAAACGAGTGGAAACTAGGATGGTGAATGGATTGTAGTGGGAAGCCCAGGTAAGAGTGGGGTACCAACAAGGTGAGGGGTGAGGAGAGCCTGAAGTGGATACCTCCTGGGGACAGCTGGAAGTCTCCCATGATTCAGTTGGCTGACCATGAAATGGACTCTCTCTGGCCAGTACTGCTTGGAGTGATCCAGGTAAGATCAGCAGCTCCAAAAAGGCTGACCCAGGATAACAGAGCAATGTGTGCAGTGCCCACCCAGAGCAAAGGAGCACACACTTCTGCTGTCTAATAAATACTTCCATTTGGGCTGTCACTACCATTCTCAGCTGACTGTCACAACACGCTGCACAGCTGTACAAGGCCTCAAGATCAGCAGGTGAGCAAGCTTGGAAACCCTCTGCATTTCTGGAGAGATCAAAGTGGCCAGCCCTAGGCCATGTAACAAGTGGCAGCAGGACTTGAACCTAGATTCTCCAGCTTCTGAGTGTAAAATTCCTTTTACCAAAAGACATCAGTCACCAACAACAGTGTCACCAAAAACTTCTGGTGATACAAGTGAGAAGCAATCCCAGGCTTTCCGGGTTTGCCCTGAGGACATCTTCAAAAATGAGATATCCAGCCAGGCTGGTCTGACAGTGTCCACAGACAACAGCTAACCCAGGCCCCAGGCTCAGCCATGAGCACCTCACAGGATCCTTCATATTTCCCATAGCATCCCCTCCCTCCCGCACTCTTAAGTGGCTAAAGCAGAGCCTGCCCGGGGGTCTGGGGTCTACACCCTCATTTTGGCCGTTCCACTGCACGGGAAGAAATTTTCTGCTAGGGCAACTCCCAGGGTCCATCTCCAAGTTACCCAGCCCGCCCCCCACCCCCCCAAATTGGTTTTTAATCTCCAGTTTATGATCACAACAGCACATTCAGGAATGAGTCCTTAGGAGGAATTCATCCTGGAAAACCACGGTGGATGGGTCAAGTGAGAATTCTGGTGGGATCGTGGTAGACACGCAATGACCACCAGCCTGGCCCACACCGTCGCCACCCAAGGAACCCATTTACACCACAGAGACAGGTACTCTGTGAATCCCACAGTCGGATGGAATTGTGCCAGAAAACTGTCTCCAGAAGACAGAGCACCCTGCTGGACGCCCAATGCAGCGCTCATGCCTCAGAGGTGAGGAGCACTGTCAGCTCAAGTTTGTGCATGTCCCTGACGTGTTTAGCTATCTAGTAGCCCAAAGCCTGACCAACAGCATTGTTAACAATCACATACGCATGGCCTGTTCCAAGTTTTTACCTGACTCCTCCTCACTTGACCCCAGAAATTGATGTCTTGAGAACATGGATGAGTTGCACAATGGCTTTCAGACTCTGCAAACTTATCAGCATTACAGTCATACTTGCAGTTATAGCTGCCCCCCTTTTTTTTACCTCCCTTTGCCTGATGGGAGTTTTTCTCCATCATCACCACCGCCAAGACAAACAGCTCTATACACAGTGTGAAGGTTTTCAAGACGCTGCCGTGCATTGTATATATGTGCACATGCTCACATCATGTGATTACACTCTCCCCCCAGGTCTGTGAGGTCAGCCATCCACTCAGATCTCCATTTCCCAGAAGCCGCCACCAGTGCCACTGGGTTCAAAGCATCCTTACCTCTCGCTCTCATCGGCAGCCTTTTCTGCTTCCTCTAGCTTCTGCAGGGCCGTGGCCAGTCGTTCCTGAGCCCTGTCTAACTCCTCCTCAACAAGCTGGATGCGTCGATTGAGAGCTGCCACATCTCCTTCAGCCTGGGAGGTCAGGGGTGCAGCCAGGTTAGGAGGCAACAGGTCAGCAGTGGGAAGCCCCCACTCACACACTAGCCTTCCCTCAGCTAACATGATTCCCCCTACCAGAGCCCGTCCAGGAATCCAGGCAGTAAGGAATCCACCCTTTTCTGGAGAACGTGATTAATTTCCTGTGATCTTCCCTGAAAACATGAGGGAGCACACGCCACTCAGTGATGAGGGGGTGTGTCCCAGGACAGGATGGGTGGTCAAGTCAACACAGAAGAGAAGTAAGTACACCATATGCTGTGAGAGCAGTGCCGGCCTCTCCATGCCTGGGATTCCTAGAGAACAAGGCCACCGCGGACCTGGCTCACCCAGTCACCCCGATGGCAAGATAAATGCAAGAACATGGAGCCCTCAGTAAAATCCTGGCCATACGCTGGGGCGCGGGGGGCAGGCAACCAAGATGGAACACCATCCTTAATTAGGTCTGGCTGAGAGATGACAGGATAACATATAGAAGAAATCTTGGTTACAAACATGGAAGAGATGTCTGAAGAGTGTCACTGGCTTTTCAAGGTGTGTTTCCCCACAAGGAAGATCACGTGGTGGAGTGTGCATAAAAGCAAGAACTCCGGGATCAAAAGGTGTTGGCTCGCTTTGCCAGTTTGTAGCCATGTGCATTAGGCTGGTTGCTTCACGGCTCTGAGCCTCCCTATATCCTATCCCTTCCCTGTCTTGCTTCCTCACACAGCTGCAAGGACTGTCAATGAAGGGCAAGGCGTCGTACCTGTCCTGTGGTTAAGTCCCACCGAAGGGCAGCTTTACGGCCAGGATTTCATCTCATTTAATCCTCGAGTATCCCACCCATTTTACAGATGGAAAACAGAGAGGCCCGACTAAGTGACAGTTCTGGTTAATGTCACAGAATTGGGAAGGAATGGCCTCTTGGGCACCAGTCCAGGGTTCTTCCTTGCTCCCTGAACCTTGAAGTCCTG